AAATAATATGGGTGATTGCTTATTAACTATACATTTTATGTTCTTTTAGAAACTGAGGTAAAAAAGAAAATAGCTGTAAAATCATTTGTTTAGCATCAAATCATTTTCTGATGATCCATTATTTATTTAAACATTTGTGTAGCATGATGTTTCTACTCTTTTATGCTCAACAGTGTCTAAATGAGAAGGTTTTTTCCTCCTTTTTTTTTTTTTTTTTTTTTTGCTTCTCTCCCATGGGGCATACTGTGGAGAGATATTGAAGAGGACTTCCTAGTTCAGTTCTTTTTCACTCTGTTCTTATCATATACAGGCAGAGTTTAGTTGTCAGTTTTTTTCCAGTGGCTATTCACCGAATACCTACTGTGCAGATAGCTACAGGCTCAGGGTGCTGAGCTACTGAGACAAGTTTTCTGCTCACAGGGAACCCATTGAGTTATAGTACAAATCTCTTGGACTGTTAAAGATTTTCCTTTATTCTTTCATATTTGAAATGTTGTTCTAAAGTAAACTGTAAATGATGATATCATAGCACTTACGAACTTGAAAACATTAACATTGTGGATATAGAATTTTCTTAAAATATTCAGTCTAGTGAAAATCTTATTAGGCTGCTCTATTATCTAGCAAATGAACATAGTACACAACAGCTTTACTTATTTTGGCTGTTTCTTGGGTATACATGTTTATCAGTTTTTGAATATCTGTATCTATTTATATTTCAGTTCTAAAATTCTGAACTTTCTTCTCCTACTTTCATTACTATACAGCAATTATTTTCTACACCTAATACTCAGCAGATGGGTGCACAATATTTAAGAAAATTGTTCAAGTTCATATAATTAATCAATAACAAAGCCTATATTAAAATTTAGATATTCTGCTTTTCTTTTCAGAGCCTAGATTTTAGACAAAGGTAATAATAATTATAAAAAGCAAATCATTACTATTATACTACATAATTATTATTATATTATATTTTTATAATTAATATATTTTCATAATAATAATTATAAACAGCTAAGCTGAATTGGTTAATACATTTCAGATATTAAAGTATTTATGTTAACATCATGATTTCAAACCCAAAATATTTTAATATTATCCCTGTAATGTATTTTAAAGTACTTTGTATACTACATGACATTGTTCACTTACCATAAGCAAGATGGAAGTGAATCAATTAATCTTATATAGATTTGGGCTTGGGGTTTTGATTCAGTATTTTTAGGTTTACTCCATGCAAATAACTTATTTATGAAAGTTTTATATTTGTATGCATTAACTCCACAAAATAGTTTGGTCTAAAAAGAGTTAAATTCTTTTTCTCACAATTCGTTGAAAAATCTATGTTTTGTGGAATCTATTCTAGGGGAAATGAAATTGAACACAAGGGTGGGTAATGTGTTTTGTGTATACAGTACCATGGTAGAAACTTGAAGTTTTCCCTTTTGGTGATTTCATTTTTGAAAAAGTATGTTATAAGTACATGCCTATTTTAACTTAGATCTATATATAAAATATAAAATTATATATATATATATATGTGTGTGTGTGTGTGTGTGTGTGTGTGTGTAAATCATAATTTTGAAAAATGGTTAATATAGCATGAGTTCCTTTTGTGAAAATAATCAATTTGTGTCTTGACTATTTTCCTGTGGCAACTGAACAAGCCCTGTACATTATAGCATACAGAAGACAGAGTATAAAATAGACATTTTAAAAAAATGTGTGCTGCATCCTAATAGAGTTACAATAACCATCAAAATCAGATCCTTATTTTTCACAATAAAAAAGCAGATATGAAAATATTTGCATGCATATGTATTCCTATGAGATGAGAGTTAGCACAAAATAGTAGAAAAGGGACTACAAACATTAGGCACTTGTTATTTAAATGTACAGGGGCATGATTTCTTAATGATATTTAAATTCATCAAAATTCAGAATATTCCCAAATTTTAAAAAGCATGTAGAAAAGGGGTAGGTGATTTGAAAACATTTGGCATTGGGGATCCTCTGTTATGTAATAAATGTGTACAATAAATTTTAAACTTTGATATCTTAACCATTTCCTTAACTCTATCAAAAGTTTATAATTTTTTTAAAATTCAACTTTAATTATACATTTATATGCAATTTTAAGAAATAATACAGAGAGATCTCATTTGCCCTTTATCCAAGCAACAACTTGCAAAGTTATAAAACAATATCACAACTTATAAAACTGACACTAATACAGTCCACCAATCTTATTTTGTTTTCACCACTTTTACACATAATTATTTGTGTGTGTGTGTGTGTGTGTGTGTGAACATATGCATGTGTGTGTTATTCCATTTGTAGGTTCATGTATCTGGACCTACATAAAGACACAAGACAGTTCCATCACTACAAAGAATTCCTTGTTCCATCCTTGAAGAACCACACCCATGTCCGTACATCTCTACTGTCTCTAACTGTTGGCATTCACTACTCTGTTCTCTATGTCTACTGTTTTTACTTCAAAACATTGTTTAAATGGATTCCATCGTGATTTATTTATAGAGTATTTGTATGTATCACTGTGTGTGCTTTTCATAGTGATTGTCCTTAACATTGGAGCATACATATGTGATTTATACAGTGTACTTAGTGTATTGTATTCACCCATATTTTTGTTGTTGTTGTTTCTTTTTTGTGATGCTTCAGTATTTCTTCTTTTATCATTTCTCTTCTAAGGCACTTTAACTTTATTTCATTCAGGTCAGCTAGAAAAAAAATGTTCTTAATTTTCCTTCTTCTGAGAATATACTTATTTTCTCCCAATTCTTCAAGGATAGTTTCAGTGGGTAAGAATTCCTTGTAATTCTTTTCTCAGTACTTAAAAAATCTGTCATTGTCTCTGGCCTCCCTGATTTCCAAAGAGAAATCTATTGTCATTTGCATTTATGTTCTCAAATGTCACCTGCCATTCTCTTTGTTGCTTTCAAGCTTTTTGTCCTAATTTTTAGAAATTTCATTTTAATGTATGTTAACATGGTCTTTGGAATTTTTCAACTTGAGGTTTTTGTCAGTTTCTTTATTCTATACACTAATGTACCCACCAAATTGGGCAAGTTTTTAATGACTGTATCTTTGCATATTCTTTTAGCCTCATTTTTTTTTTTCCTCCTTGGACTCTAATGGCACCAATGTTGAATATAGCTTTATTATCTTGTAGTTCCCTGAGGTCTGTTATGTTTGTTTTTTCTTTTATTTTATATATATTTTCTATCAGTTTTTCAGATCAGGTTGAATTTATTACTCTGAGTTAAACTTGCTCTTTCTATCTTCTGTGATCTCCATTGTCCTATTGAGCCAATCCAATAAGGTTTATTTAGGTTATTGAAAATTTAATATCTATAATTCTAATTTTTAATAAATTATTTTTCTAGTTAAACTTTCTATTATCTTTTTCCTTTGTTCAAGATAATTAGTAATGGCTTATTAAAATATTTTTATGATGGCTAAATATCTTTATCAGATAATTCCAATATGTGATTCATATCAGTATTGACTTCTATTAGTTATTTTTTTTTCTAATTTAAGTTATCATATTCCTGGTGTTTGGTATAACCACTATGTTTTTTTTTTTTTTTTTTGTTTATATCCTGGACATTTTAGCTATTATATTAGGCAACTCTGAATATTTTTTAGGTCTACTATTCTAGGAGGCATTCTTTTGATTAGGTTTAACACAGTTTATTTCTTATACTTACAGTCTCTGGGTCTAAATTAATAACAATTTAATTTTCAGGGAATTTGCAGTGCTATATGGTCTGTTTGACTTTTCAGATTCCACTCAGGGTTACACTGATCTATATTGATATCACCTAAAAGGGCAAAGAAGTTTCCCGAGGCCAGGCCTGTACTAGTTCATATAGGGCAAGGGGTTCTCTAGCTCATAAGAACTACTTCTAGGACCCTCACTGTCCAATTGCTTATTGTCTGTAGATGATGAAGGGAATTTCAATCTGATGAGGAAAATGATTGCTCTCCTTTGTCAGTGGAGATCCTCCTTGATTCCCCTTGCAGGTGACCTATCTTCCTGAGGCTCTTGGGGAACTTCCATTCAATCAGTAATAAAACTGAATTTGCTGATGCCACTTCCACTGCCTGGTTTGGTTAGGAGAAGCTGGGCCTGGATCATCTTTTACTGTTGTTTATGTAGCCTTCATGCTGCCCCTCAGGTCCTGGTGTCCCTACCACTGCTCCTTCATCTTTCTTTCTTTCAAAATACTCTTTTGGATGTCTCTAGCTTAATGTGATATTTTATGCTGTACTTAATTAAAATCATAATAATAAACATGTAGTTTTACCCTTTTTACCCAAAATAAAGTCAAGAGAAGCATAACTCAACAGAATTCTGAGAGATATTCTGGAGAAACAAATGTTTTGTCTCAGAAAAGTGATTCAAACCAAAGAATATATTAACAGAGTACACTAGCCAATCAGAGTACACGTAATTATAGATATATTTCAACTAAACATTAGATCAAATTTAAATAAAGTTTAACAAGTGTCTTTACTTCAGAGAGCTTTTAATATGCCAATATTCTTTGTTTGGGGCTCTTGTAAGAACTGTAGCAAGGTTTCAAGTTTCCAAAATTTATCTGTCCATACAAGTGAGTCCATTTTGTTCATAGTTGTTTTGGGCACTGACATATCATGAAAGACTTTGTGAAGGAAATCTATTTTCACAACCGGTATCTACCTCATCTAAAGTATTACACTAGATTCAATCATTTAATTAAAAAGTTATTTCTGAGAACACTAAGGAGCACCTAATTCTACTTTGATTTAAAAAAATCAGATAAAATATTTCAGTATATTTAAGCCTTCCTTTAAACTGATTCAAGAAGCAAAATTTAGATGCACAGCCAAATTAAATGTTTATTGCATTGTGTTTAAAATATGTGGTCTAAAAGTACCGACTGTTCTTTAATGCTGCCATTCACATTTTCAATATTTCCTCTTTCCAGCTTTAAGGGACAATAGGATTGAGCTGGTTCGTGCTTCCTGGCATGAATTGAGTATCAGTGTCAGTGATGTGTCTCTCTCTGATGAAGGACAATACACCTGTTCCTTATTTACAATGCCTGTCAAAACTTCCAAGGCCTATCTCACTGTTCTGGGTAAGTACAGGAGACTAAACCCATGTAATCACAAAACCAGAGAGATGCATACTGCTATAGTAATATGATTCTGTAAGAAAATGTAGTTTGAAGATCACATTTATAGATGTAGTCTAATTCCTTCTCTGCTATGCTACAAAAAGGGCATTTAAAAATAATTTATTTGCTTTCTCCATTTTATCATTAGTCAAAAGGAGGTACAAAGATTTATATCATCCTCAGAAGGCACAAGGGCATTGTGTTCTGTAGCTAGCAACACATACTTCTTTTCTTAATTTCCAATTGGACCTCTTTATATCAAATCATCTATACATTTTGTATTCTGCCCCTTTTATGAATTGACAGAATAATGAATATAATGAGTTTGACTTGCATCTATAGTATGCTTCTACGTTTTATCTTATAAGTCACCTGGTGAGGGCCTTCTCTAATAACCTGTGGCTTTCAAAAATGACCCCTTTGTGTACTTTTGTGCATTTAAATGGCCCTGACATTTCCATGGGACTTCTTTCCTTTTAAATTTGTATTTTCTGGATCCAAAATGAGGTACATAATGTCACTTGTGCATGCAGCTTGTAGCTTCTTTGTGCTTTTATTCTCTAAGTATTGGGCTATTTTCCCAAAGGTTAAAGTGACATGAAAAAGCAATACATTCATAGAGATTCTGAGGAAATAAAGTTGCAGCTCGAACCTCTCTGTGATTCCACAGACGTCAGTGCCCCAATCAGCTGAAATCGTTGCACTTCATTGAAACACACCTGTGTACTGAACAAGTTAGAGGAATTTAAAAATTGATTTTTTTTTTTTTGCCCCTAGCTTGCCTTCCTTTTTAGATAGATAAAGGCACAACATTGCATTTAAAAGGACAATACAGACTCTTCTTTTAGATAGGAATATTAAAGTTAATCCAGCTTGAGAACTGGTTTTGTGCATAGGATATGAAATATACTCCACTGCAAATCCTACTGAGACTATTTTATAAAAATCACTGAAAGTTTGCCATTAACGACAAGATATAGCCTCTAAAATGGAGTATTTCAGGATAACAACTGTCTAAGCTTAATATATTATTTTGTAGAGAGCCAAATTGGGACTCAAAGAATAGGTGCCTGCTGCATCCAGTTTATTGAATGGTGGTAGGACAAAGATTTTTTTTTTTTTTAAAGCAAAGGTGTAATATCAAGGTGAAGACAAGCAATAACAACTATGTAGTTAATGGAAGCATACTGACCCTTTATCTTTGTTGTTCTTGTTGATTTACTTTGCCATTCTCATATTGTTTTTTTCTAACATTCTTACATTTTAATATTTTCAAAACTGAAATAGTTCAACAAGAAAATCTTCAGTCTGCTGTTATTATTTAATACTTTTAAAGGAAGTTTTAATATATCTCTACTGAGAAAACTGAGTAATATTGCTTAAGAAATGTGTAACATTCTAATTTTTAAATCACCTAAATTCTATTTATCTGTATTAGTTATCTGCTTATGGTAATTTGGAATAGAAAAGGTAGTAGTGGTTAGCATTAAAAAATAATACATAACATGCTTACCAAAACTACAATTGTATTTTTATAAATGCCCTCAGGAGACATTTTCTACTTTAGATGACAGAAAGGTTAGTAAAGGTGTGATTAATGATGAAACACTTATTCTAAAATTCATATTCTTGAACAAAGTACATACAGGATAATAATATCTTTTTAAGCGTTAAAGAATTATGAAATCAGTTGATAAAGGTGCTCTTTTAAAATCAAATCAGATGGTATTATAGCAAATTTAGCATAATTTGAAAAACAGAAATATGTTTTGTGGAACTTTTGTTTTTCACGAATGCAATCTTTCTTCTTCAATTCTTCTTCTGGCAAATCTTAACATATACTGAATACTTGTTTTTAAGATGTACGAAGAATATGTTTGCGGGTAAAAGTTTACAATTTATTTTAAAACTACTTTGGACTATATGCATTTCAAAAGCTTTTTAAATATTTTATATAAGTACACACACACACACACACACACCATCTAAAGCAGTTTTGTTTTATTATGCAGAAGTTTATATCATCCCTAGAGAATGATGCTCACTTTGCTCATTTGCTTAAATTTCAGGTGTTCCTGAGAAGCCTCAAATTAGTGGGTTTTCATCACCAGTTATGGAGGGAGACTTGATGCAGCTGACTTGTAAAACATCTGGTAGCAAACCTGCAGCTGACATAAGATGGTTCAAAAATGACAAAGAAATTAAAGGTAAAAAACAAAAAAACAAAAATTCCCCAAATCAAAATTAATGTATTAAAACTAGTATGATGTATTGAAAAAAGTAATCTTTTTATACTTTTCATTATTGCTCACTGATCAAATGTACTTTGGACAAGATTTTCTCATTTCTTAAATCAGATAATTTTAAAAGGTATAATATAATCTCTGTGTGCTTCATTTTCCTCTTATGAACAAGAAGTCTAAACCTAATATGTTATGATATTGGATGTAAGGTGTCCCCCAAAGCTCACATGTGAGACCATACAAGAAAGTTTGGAGGAGAAATGATTGGGTTGTAGCATTAACCTAATCAGCGAATTAATCCCTGATGAGATTCAATGAGTGGTAGCTGGAGTCAGGTGGGGTATGGCTAGAGGAAGTGGCTCACTGGGGATGTGGCTCTGGGGTATATATTTTGTATCTGGAGAGTGGAGTCCTTTCCTTTCTCTTTCCTGATCACTGTGTGAGCTGTTTCCCTCTGCCACATTCTGCTGCCATGATGATCTACCTTGCTTTGAGCTCCAAGGAATGGAGCAGGACACTTAAAGATTAAGACCTCTGAAACCATGAGACCCTAAATAAACCTTTTATCTTCTACAATTGTGTTGGTTAGGTCCTTTAGTTACAGCAGTGAAAAAGCTGACTAAATCATAATATATGCCTCATCCCAAAACTGGGAAAACAAATGGTTCAATATATAAAAAAATGTATAGGTCCACGCTTGACAATAGTAAGTACTACGTATGTTAGATATTACTATTTAAAATTTATATATAATATTTCAGTTATAGATGGAGAAACTGTATAAATTATTGCTGAATTTATTGGTTTTTGGAATTTCAAATTTGGTGAAATAAAACAAGATAAATATCAATAAAACTGACTTCTAGTAATTTTCATAGAAGGTAAAAATAATTGCATGTCTTAGTTAAAATATGCATTGTGATTTAAGTGCTTCAGACATCTCTCTCTTCTCTCTCTCATTATCTCTCACACATAAACATACACAGAGAAGTTTTTAGGAAGGAAATAAGTTTATACGGGAAATTACTGGTATGGTTAGTTTGTTTGATTTTGTTAAACCCCAACTGTGGTTATCTTGAACCCAAGTTAGCACATATATTAACATATAAATACAGAATTGTTTTGCTGATTAATAAAACAATTTGCTTATATCATAGTTATTATTTTCAACATAATCTTCAATAAGACAGGTTTATGACAAGCACTCTGATTAATTTAACTTCTAATTCTAATAACTTGAGACAGTTTATTTAAATCTTAGTAATGGGCATGCAAACCTAGCATGTACATTTGTATACATTACTGAAAAATTGTGGATCATAATCTATATAAAAGTTTGTCTATTTTCTATTTTATTTACTCTTTCATTATTATTGTGTCCAAAACTAGAATCTCAGAATCTCATCTATAATTCAATACCAATCACTTCCTTCATTTCAGAAATAATAGACATATTTTACTTGATCAAATTTTGGGAAATACTTACCTAAGACACATTTGGACAGCTTACTCTGCTAAATGAGTTACCATTTAACTGAATTGAATTCTTGTATTCTAGTAGGGTTCATTAACATCCATTTTAATTCTTCCTTTAGGATATGTTTGTTTAGACATTTCCAGACTCAGTTAAATCTTTCCTAAGTAGACCTTCCATCCTACTTCCAGAGTTATCTTACTATGACAAGAATCTGTTCCGGTCAGTTTTATGCTTAAGTACTTTTGATGGAAAGCCCTAAATTGCAGGATAACTTTAAAATCCTCTTTCTGTAGCTTATAGGAATTCTGTAGGCAGTAAATTTTTATATATCACATATGTCTTTTTGTAGGAATGTTCTGTTTCATGATAGAACACACTCTTTAATATGCTACTGCAATGAATTACTGTTGCCTATGTTCATCCTGACATAATTAGTTCATTCAATAATTAGTCAGTTCTCCATTTTTAAGCCTTTTATTTTTGTCCTGAGGATTTTTCTCTTTTTCCCTCTGGTAAGTCATAGACTCTAACATATTAAGTACATTAATATTGATTAGTTGTTTTTAATATTGTAGCTTTATAAGAAACTGATGTACTCAAATTTTTATAAAAGAACTTACTTTTTAAATCCATGTAGCCTCTGATTTGAATGCCAAACAGATTTGATGATATTTTGGGGCGGGGGATTCTGTTTGAAGTTTGATCTTGTAAACACCATACTTGAATGCCATCTGAATTAAGACCAGAACAATATTCAAGACATAAATGTACACAGAATCAGCATATGGTTCTATATTCACAAGTTGTGAAGCCTCCTTGTTTTTACACCCACCAGTGCATGGCCATTTACAGAGCATTTGTTACCCCTACATTTTCATTTGTCTAAAGAGCTCTTTCTTTGTATCTAATTCTCACGTATTTACACATTTGTCTTCCCAGTCAGATGGTGAATTTCCTGAGCAGTGTAAACTTTATTTTTATAGGTGTATATAAGTAAATAAAATAAGTGCCGTCATCTGCACAGAGTGAGTGTTCATCACAGTTGCAGTCCTCTGGATATGCCAAGTGAATTTCCTCGCTACAGCCCCTTTAGCCAACATGCCTCACTTCAAGGAGAGCTTCATTCTTATCTTGCACTGTCTTGTCTTTTCAGACACGAAAATTTGACTTTCTATTACCATCCGACTATTTTTAGTATAATATTACTTGACACTTTTAAAAAAGATAATCCCGAGTGTAAAGCAAAGGGAAAAGTGGGTCTAATCGAATCAAATTAAATTGAATTCAATAAGACATTGTTAAAAAAATGCCTCCAAATTTCACAGTATTTTATGGTGCATGAGTGAAGATTCAAATCAAGAAAATAAAAACCTTGATTTGGAGATATTTATGACATCTTTGGAATTATTAAACAAATATGGAGAGTATTTTCTCTTAAAGAGATTTGTCTTTACGCATTTTTTTCTTTTTTTCTATTACTATCTAAGTGTAAATTTTCAGTTTCTAGATGAAAGTTACTGGATTATAAGGCAGTGGTTCTTAAATTTCAACAGGCATCATCATTCCTTATCGATCTTCTTGAATCTTACAGGATCCTCACCCTAAATTTTCTGATTGAGTAGGCTTAAAATAGAGCCTGAGAATATGCCTTTTAGCATTGTGTTAAATGTGTGAGTGATACTGATGTTCCTCTTTGGAGACTACGTTGTCATAGAGAATGTAAAATGAAAAATATCAGTAATCCACATAGAAAGCCTGTCTCTAATATACGTTTTCTCATATGTTTAATGAGGATAAAAATGCTTGTTTCAAAGTACTGTTGGCAAAAATCCTACACAAACCAATACATAAACTGTTTTCCAGTACATGGAATCTCTAAGAACATTTTGGACATTATTATCATTTCTATTATTATTATAGTCAGCAAATCATGACTGATGAGCTCTACCAATCCCCACAATAAAACTGCAAACATAAACAAACAAAACAAAAATAGTCCCTCAAGGTACTCACATTGGGGGATAGACATATAATTATAAGATCTACCAGGCACACATATATGAACTGGCTACAGTTATTGTACAACAGAAGCAGAGACCAGGCCTACTTTGTGGGAAAAGTGAAGGCTCAACTGTTCTTTGATAAAAGTGAATATTACATTTTATTGACTTTACTGAGTTTACTGGGCTAGGAGTAAAAGAAGTAGCAGGACAATCTCAAGAAAAATAATCCATGTATCTATGCAGGTTACAAGCATGCAATTGAAGTAACTGAAATTTAAGTGTGATATAAGCATGAAAGGTAAACAAGGAGGCAGGAGAGTCCAGATAGGTCACGGATCTTTTATTACAGATTAAGTTTGGAATATATTCTGTAGGCAATGGAGAGACATTTTTTTGTCTATAAGCTTTAAACTGTAGAATATAATGATCATAATTCCATCTAACTCTGTTTTTTTTCCTCCCTCCATGAGCTACTCAGACACTCCTTTGGTGCCACTGGGCAGCTCTGCATCCAAAACCACAGGTGTTACTCACTGAAGTCTTTAATCTTCTGGGTAGCAAGGAAGTCTGAATATTTGCCATTTAGTGTCAAAAAAGATGTGCAGTGCCTTCCTAAATCTTTTGGCTCCCTGAGAGCTGACAGTTACATTAAAAATTTCATTCCATGTATAAGTTTGATAATTTGTAGTTTGAGTGTTTCTTATTGCAAAATTTTGAGATTTTCTTTTTCAGCTAAGTTTAACTTTAATGGGTTAGGCAGAATTCTATAACCCTCAATGACCTACACCCTAATGTAAACCTTTCACTTTGAGAGTAGGAGGGAATTGTGACTATGAAGTGACATGACTTGTCACGTCATAATCAACATAACTTGATTATGTTACCTTATATGGCAAAAGCGGTCTTGCAGATATAACTATGGTTCCCTTCCAACAAAGGAAGGTTATGAAAAGTGGGTTGACATAACGAAGTAAGGTCTTCAGAAAAGAGTAAAGAGTCAGAAAGACATTCTTCTCTTGACCTGGAAGAAAACAAACAGCTATTAGAAAGACATTCTTCTCTTGACCTGAAAGAAAAAAATAAAATAAAATAAAATAAAACAGCTATTTTGAACTGTTTGTGGGAGTCATGTGGCAGTAACTGTTGGTGAACTCTTCAGAGCTGAAAGCCTTCCATGAGTGAATAGGGAAATGAAAAGGCTAACAACCAGTAAATTTGAGGAGGACAATAAAACTTAAATGGGAATCGTACCCCCATCCAACACTTTGATTTAGTACAGTGACATTGAGTGCAGGACCAAACTAAGCCCTGGATTCCCAAACTACAGAAACCATAACATAAAAAAATATGTGTTGCTTTAATTGACTAAGCTAGTTGAGATCTAGAAAAGACAGAGTAATTTTTCATATTTATATATCTTTCAGAGATTGGGCTTGGATATATATTCTTAAAGAAAGACCCAGAACTTCAGCTTAGAGAAAAAT